ACTGTCCAATTGACTGGGCAAAAATTTGAATCAAGGCTTGAAACTTGGTATGGACAAACTTGTGAGTCCAACATGAAGTATGAAAGTAATTTTGGGAATTTTAGGTCAAAACATCCTTGTGCAAATTCAAACCCTAATTTAGGTCAATAGTGCAAGGAGGTGTCTTGAGCAGAGCAAACCCTAGCTTGATCTTGAGTTTCATGAGTCTTGTGATGAGAAATGTTGATGAAATGAGAGGGAAAATTTTGGGGTACAACAGGAAGGTATTAGCACCCCGCACACCCGTAGTACTCTACGGTATCCACTCTTGTTGTTCTAATCTAAGGGTGTGTAAAATATATGTTTAAGGCTTAAAAGCTAAAAGAAACATGCAAAGGGGAATGCATGCAAAAAGAAAAGAGAAAATAATGTAGGGAAAATAAAGTTGTACTCGTTCGGGCCCTACCCCAATGCCTACATATCCCTTTTAAGGAATCAGAGTAGCCATAGTTCGGCTCACATGCTTTGGTTGCTTTGTGTTTTTTAGTTAAACAGACAAAATCGCATCAGAATGGAAAAACACAAGACAAGACAACAAAATATCAGATAACAATGAAAAAACATCAGATAATAATGATAAAGCATAAAAAAAGGATGGCAAGGCATCACATGACAACACAAACTCAGATAAGATGATAAAACATCAGCATAATAGCAAAATATTAGATAAGATGATAAAACATCACACCTAACAATGATATCAGAAATCAAAGTAGGATAACAAACATGTGCAATGGCGAAACATCAACGAAAAGATAGCCAAATATTATGGCAAAGATGACAATACATCAAAACTCAGATGATAAAACATCACACCTAACAATGATATTGAGAATCAAAGTAGGATAACAAACATGTGCAATAGTGAAACATCGGCTAAAAGATATCAAAACATCATGGTAAATATGGCAAGACATCAATACTCACATGATAAAACATCACACCTAACAATGATATTGAGAATCAAAGTAGGATAGCAAACATGTGCAATGGCGAAACATCGGTGAAAAGATAACAAAATATCTTGGCAAAGATGGCAAGACATCAATACTCAGATGATAAAACAACTCACCTAATAATGATATTGAAAATCAAAGAAGGATAATAAACATACGCGATGGAGAACATCGACAAAAAGATAGCAAGATATCATGGAAAAGATGGCGAGACATTAACAACTCAGATGATAAAACAGCACACCTAACAATGATATTAAAAATCAAAGTAGGATAACAAACATACGCGATGGCAAAACATCGGAAAAAAGATAGCAAGATATCATGGAAAAGATGGCGAGACATTAACAATTTAGATGATAAAACATCACACCTAACAATGATATTGAGAATCAAAGTAGGATAACAAACATATGCGATGGAAAAACATCGGCAAAAAGAAAGCAAGATATCATGGCAAAGAAGGCTAGACATCAACAATTCAGATGATAAAATATCACACCTAACAATGATATTGAGAATCAAAGTAGGATAACAAACATATGCAATGGCGAAACATCGGCGAAGAGATAACAAGATAACATGGCAAAGATGGCGAGACATCAACACTTCAAATGATAAAACATCACACCTAACAATGATATTGAGAATTAAAGTAGGATAACAAACATATGCGATGGCGAAACATCGGCGAAGTGATAACAAGATAACATGGCAAATGCGGTAAGATGTCAAGACTTAAAAAGGTTTAAAACAAAGCCAAAAGGCGCACAAGCAATTAAGATTGGTTCATATTTTTTACCTTGAAGAAGGATTTAAGTTCATTAGAGAAGTTTTATTATTTTCCAAGAAGAAGTTTTAGTTTTAATGCAAGGATGCAAAAGAAAGAAAACATTTAAGGGAGACTATCTAGTTCTATCCCTATCATTATCATGCAATAATTGATCCTAAGGTTGAGGATGAAAAGGGGAATCTCTAACCTATGTTGAGATGCATGGATTACAGTCCTAATGTCTAGCTCCCAAGCTACTCTAATCGAGAAATCTTAAGGGAAGCGTACAAATTCCTATTCTAACGGAGTATGGTATGTACAGGGATAAAAAACAAGCAAGCTCAAAAGAGCATACATATGCCACGAGTAGCGCACACTAACTCGGGTAAATGCCTAACCAAGATATAACTGATCAAGGTAGGTACAAAATACAGTAGGGATGCTTTAGCCAAGGGGTCATATCAACTGAGGAAAACAAGCAGGGAGGGGGATAGAAGAAGAAAAATGTGACGTCCAAAGTGACTGAACACCTAACCCAGATATAGAAGATAGAGGTAGGCGAAAAGAGACAATATGAATGATCACGGAGTGTCAGCATCGGCCAATGTAAACTCCTGACAAAGCGTGGGGGTTTGATTTCAAAATCCTTCCCCACATGACCAATTCGATACATAAGATTTGTAGGACTCTGAAGTATCAATGTATAACGTGAGCTAAATATGACTCGGACTAGAATGTGCGGGGGTCAATTACGGACCCTCCCTGCTTGCCTCCTTTTGAGGACTTATCATCTGTAATATAATGCGGGCACGAATGTAAACACATGTGTGGAATACCTACTTCAAAGGTAGGATTTCAAACAATCACAAATAGCATTCAGAAAGCACACAATGTGAAATTGCCTTAAACAAGTCTTTAAATAAACCAGAGGGATACCTGACATATATCAACAATGGAGATCTTTGTCATACATCTCTTTTCCTACTTGACATGGCAAGGAAAGCGGTAAAATCCCTACTTCCCATGATCTCTAGAAATCAGTAAAGTGTAAAATGAGGTAAATGAGAGAAAATACCAAACGAACAAAATTTCATAGCGTGGCAACCAAAGTAGAGAAACCTGACGATCTTCGCGAAAGCTAATGCAGAAATGTATGTTTCCTTTTCAACACGCGCAAAATAGCTCAAGACATATGTCAGAAGCTTCACCAATAATCAACTGAACTAATCCTCAAGCGCTCAATATCAGAAACCAACCTCTTATCACGAACTCATGGAAAGAAATTAATAACAAAATGATTATTAACGTGGAAAGAATAATTTGGAAACTTCAGTTAAATTCTAAAGATCCTAAAAATCAATTCTAAAATATTCTATCATTTTCGTATCATTTTTATCATCAAAATATGAAAAAGAAAATTCAATGAGAAAATAAACGACAAAACTCTAAGTAGCCAAGGGTGTATATTGGATCCAGGTGGTGTATGAACCAAAAGTTAGGTGCTAGACCCATATGAAGAGTGATCCATGAAGCCTTTTTGTTGGTATCAATTGATGTCCGAAAAAGAAAATTAACGGGCTCAGGGCCCAACCACCACTTCAGTTTGGATCCACACCTTATTTCAGCATATTCAACATGTTTATTATTATTAGATTATTATTATTATTATAAAAAAAAGAATTGAATGAAAATTGAGAAAACAGGAAACATTTTTATTTAGTCTTGGAAGCTAGGGTTCAAGTTTAACTGTGACTATCAAAATTCATCGTGAAATCCAAACTTCTCTTCCTCTTTCATGCTCAAACGACACCAGTAAAACCTTCTCCATCTCTGCCGCTCAATCTCTCTGTTGCGGCACACTCGATTGCTCAGCGATTCAACCTTCTCACAAGCACACTCCCTCTGTCTCACTCTATTCTCTCTTCCATCTCCACTGATTCAGAGAATCAACCTTCATCGACCGTTCATCTTAGACTTTGGATTTTGAAGCTTCGACTCAACCTCCCGCAGGAAGCTTCAACGCGCCTCGTCTCAGTCGTTCTTTCACGATCTCACCGGATTGAAAGTAAAATCCGACGAAGTAATCGAGAAAACCAGGTAATCTTTCATTTCTCCTCTTATCCCTCTTCGATTCAATCTTCTTGTTTTCTGCATTACATTGTTGCGATCTTGTGATGCAATAATACTGAGGTTTTTGTTGTATTGAAACAGATGCAAGTGCCTTAACACGTTGCTGAAGTAGAGCGATTCAGAGATGTTATTGTTGCTATGTGTGGCGAGAATGTGAGACGGATCGATGTAGAGATTCGAAGATTGATGAAGCGGTGGATGTAGGCTTTCGATGAGATATTGAATATGGTTCTTCCATAGATTAAATAATGATGAAGATTGAGAGAGTGAGAGAAGAATGCATATTTTTTTGTAGTTTATGGTGATTCTTTAGAAAGTGCGAAGAATAATGAAGATGAAAAATGAGAGAAGAGAAGAGAATTTCTGAGCTTTTGGCAGTGATTCTTCTAAGAGATTGAAGAATCCCTGGATCTGGTGAGCAATTCTATTTTTATAATTCTTCTCTAGGATCTGAAAGTTTGCTATCAAACTGAATGGATGAGATTGATTATGATTTTGAGGTTTTCTCTGGAAGTTTGTTACTTTGTTGAGCTGCACTAAGTCACGGTTTTCCCTTCCTTTGCATATTTTTCTTTTTGTATTTATTCAAAATGATGAGCTGGCAATTAGAGTGAACAATTCTGTTATGACATTTCACAGTTTACACATCTTCCTCTAATTTTTTGATATTGTTTTTTCTGAACTGGTTACAGATCTGATAAAAAAAGAACCGCGAGGATGATGAGGTAGGACAAAAGATTTGTGAATTTTCCAGTCGATCGAGTCCTCTCCCGGTAATATCTTTCTAATTCTGACTTTTCAAAAGCTTATTTTCCTCTTCTTCTTCTTATTGCTTTCGATTTCTGAAGGATTTTTGAGTCAGGAAAATGATGATACAAAATTAGGGCCATGATTTGTTATTGCTGCTACGTAGCTTATAAGATTTGTGATAACACCTTTGTGAATGCTTCTGTATTGGGATTCTTGATATCTGTTTTTGTTATATTTTCTGATTTCTGTGTTTTGGCCTTTTGATAAGCTTGCTGCATATTTGTTATATGAACTGTGATGTTGACTTTTAATATCTGGCTCGCGTGAATTCTGTATTGAGCTTTTGGCAATTTTTATGATATGAAAACATGCTTGTTAGGCTGGACATGAAATTTCTGTTTGCATTCTGTTTTGACAGAACCGTGATCTTTGCATACTTGCTGAACCGTGATGCTATGATGATATACTGAGCTTTCAATAACTCGCTTCTTGGACTTCCTTTTATGAACCAAAGATAGCTTTGAGATTTGCAATAGGAAAACCGGCCCATGATTAAATTTTGAAATTTTATTATATTGAAACAAAGTATGAGGCCTTGTGAAATGCTTATGAACATGATTTGGAAACCACCCTTTATTCTGATTCTTTACTTGGGCCCTCATCATGAAATTGAAGAGAAAATTCCTTGAAACTTCTTGAAACTTTTCCTTGTTTATCATTCAAGTTTTGATTATTTTACTAACCATTTCCTTTCCTACTCTTGTTTCATGAATGAGCAACGACAAACTGACGAGTAATGGAGCAAGTTGGTGAAGAGGATAAAAGAGATGGAAGATATTTGAAGCGCTCAAATAATCATGAAGATAAATAGGACCTTTTTGTAGTTCTTAGAACAATCTTGTATTCATTAGGAAAATTTGTAACATTGTGATTTCAACTTGTGATTTGAACTTTGAGACTTGAAGACTCGTAATAAGTGTATTCAAATTTACTTGTAAACTTAAATGACAATGATGCTTTGTTGTAACCTTGAATTCTTGAGCATGAATGAGAAGAAACGGTTTTGAATATCGAAACTTGCATCCTTTATTGAAATTTTGAAAGAACTTGGTTCTATGATACCTTGTAGCAATTGTAAACTCTGAATTGGCATCTGAGCTTTCTTTAAAAAATCATTTGCATTGAAAAAAACTTGAATTGAAACCCAATTGAATCTTTGCTTAGGAATTGATAAGAAAGCTTGGCAACTTGAACCTAATAGAAAATAGAATTCGAACTTTGGCGCCTAAAAAACGAATCCACCAACATTCAAAATTTTCCTCTTCTCTCCCTCAATAACCAACTCAAGAGCTCTAGGTAAATTACCAAAAATACAATATTGCACTCATAGTACCAAAAAAAGTCAAACTTCACAAGTTTTGGTCAATGCATAAACATAAAGGATTGAAACCTTAATCTTCTAAGAAATTCAAGGAAATAAATTCATATTAAAAACCTTAGTAGATGAATAGACTTGTAGTTTGGTGAGAATATATACCCAGGATTGAAACCCTAGCAGTGCTGATATTTTGAACTTAGATGCTTCATGTATTGAGATAGTGCTTCCAGAACTTTATCAATATAGATGCCACACATTTTAGCAATCAGAAACCATGCATAAGTGCCAATGGATAAGATGATAATGAGATTTACTTTGAAACCATTGCCATTTTTTAATTCTATGATGAAATAAAGAATCAAATTGAGATGTCGTGAGGCCTGAGAAGCCTTGGTAGCTTTAATAAGCAACGTAAAGAAGATATGAGATCCATCTTGGACTGATTGATAATACAACCAAATTCCAAAGTTTTGAAGAAAACCGGGGATATAAGAATACCTTAATCCTATCACAAAAATGAATGAATGTATATGATGAAACATAAGCCATGTAAAATCTGAAATCAAGAGGGTAAATTTTGGGGTGCAACACCTATACAGTTGATTTTCAGTCATCTGAGCCATTGGCTGAGGAATCTTGTGATGCAAGGCATGAAATTTGACATGAGCATTCTTGAAGACATATGAAGAACCATGAAAACCACTTGAGACCATGGAAACCCAATCTTCCTTGTGTAATACCCCAAATTTGTCCTACCCTCTCACTTTTATCTGGCTTATGCATCTCGCACTTTTCTCATGTACATAACCTTCATTAGGTCATCTAACACATCATGCATCATTAGTCAATAATTTGGCATGGGATCAAGGATTTCGAGGAATTAGGATTGTTGTATAGCTTCAAGGCTCTCATCTTCGCATAAGCTTATTTCAAGTGATCTCTCCATCAATCATTTATGTGAAGCTAGGGTTTTATTTCATGGACTTCTTTATCATCAAGTTACAGAGCTATTCTCTTCTTCTCAGCATCAAGTTACATGGCTATTCTGTTCTTCTCTACATCAAGATACAAGGTGTTCTCCATCCAATTTCATCGAGGGTCGGTCTTTTAGATAAAAGATATTGAAGAATTAGGGTTTCTCTTTGGTTTTGAGGCTCTCTTCTATGTTCAAGGGTAATTCAAGTTATTTCTTCAACGATCAAGGTTCGGAGTTAGGGTTATGTTCATTAAGCTACAAGGTTCTCCGTCCTCATCAAGTGTTCTCAAGATCAAGTGCTTAGGGTTTTTGTCAATGTTTCAATTAAGAAAGCTTCGAGTTAGGATTTTGGCTCTACTTTACATCTCAAGTCATTTCCTCATCAACGTGTATTCAAGGCACAAGGTTAGGGTTGTATCTTCATCAAAGGGTTTTGTCGAAGGCATTACATTTTGTATTAAGTTCACCTTTCGTCTATCAAGAGGTACACGTGTTGCTTAAGCTACATGACATAATCCTTGGTTCTTGTACGAGAAAAGAAGAACATGAGTATCATCGAATGATATCACCCATAGCTCCATTCGATCTTATGCAAGCTCCATCAAAATTCATTCATGGTGATTCAATCCCATTCAAGATCACTATAAAAGTACGTCATTCATCAAACTAATTCATTCATGGTCATTCAATTACATTCAAGATCACTATGAAAGTACGTCATTCATCAAACTTTCATCCGAGGTTCTTATTCAATTTTGTTTAAAGTACAAGTTAGAAATCATTGTTTACATTCACTTGAACCTTGCAAGATTACACCACTGCCCTTACATAAACCAGTACCATTACAAGGTAACCTCATGTCACAAACATTACAACTCAAAAATAATTACAAAAAAGAAGTTCTTATATCTATCCTAAAGCCTATCTCTTCATACTTCAAAGTCTTCCATGATAAGCCTCCATGTTTCAAACTCTTTATCGTCTTCTATAATTTCATTCTCTTCAAGTTTTGAAATGAGGCAAAAGAGTACTCAACCATGCCGTTATCTTCCTTGCTAACACCCAATTCCATGCTTGAAAATCACAACTGAATCTGCATAAAACCAAGCATACCATGTCAGTTTCAGCATAAGCGGGAATCCAAACATCATTAGGCCCCTTTAATTCCAAGCATTCAAACATATGTCATCCAAAACAACATGAAAGCAATGTGGCAATCTGAATTCTCAGCATATACAATCAAATACAGTCTGGTTATGCACAAGTTTCAAGACATTCTCAAGCATTCAAACAAAATCAAGGCTAAATCAAACGTCTAACAGCTACAATGTGTTCATTCACCAACAAGAAGTTAAACTCAGACACGGGCATTCAATACATGGAACATTCAAAATCCGAAAATAGAAAATCAAGTAACAGTGCAAATTTGCTAAAAAAACCCAGAATACATACATATTGAAACTCAATTGTTAACTATCCTATCAATGCAAACTCAAGCCAGGAACAGATGCAAGCCAAAATAGCACCAATAGCTAACAAAATTTCTGACAACTCCTAACTGTCATAATCTTACAACTGTCCAAAAAAGGCCTCCTAACTATTCCAGTAAACTAAATTCCAAACAACTCTAATAGCTCTCTAACCGCTCTCTAACAACCCCTAAATAACCTTCTAACAACTCTTAACAGAAATTATAAACAACTAACAAATTTTCCAAACAGAAAATATCTCTTAACTGACTTTCTAACTCCTGACAGTTTCTAACCAAACTCTAACTAACTTTGCAATAGAAACCTAACTGTTAACTAACATTCCATAACAGAAATTCCCAACTGCTTTAACCTCTTAACTATTTTCTAAACATAAGTTACCAACAGAAAACTTCATAACTAACTTTTAACTTCCTAACTAACTAATTTGCCAGCTCATTCAAACAGAAATCAAAAACCAATTTAATAGAAACCTACCTATAACTTCCAAAACAGAATTCCAACTTCTCTAACCCCATCCAACTTCTAAACTATCACTACAAAAATTACAACAGAAAATCTTAACTACTTTCTAACCAACAGCATAACAAAAATGCCTCTAACTTCACTAACCATCTTAACTAGCTTCACAAATTCTAATAACCTATAACTGTCCTGTAACTAATTCCTAACAAAATCCCAGCTCAGTAACCGATTAACAAACTAAGAGCCAGCTAACTGTTTATAACAACCTCAAGCCAACCCTCCATATCATAATTGAATTTCTCAATCCAAAGGCTCAGATTACTCCCCACTCAACTGCTTCTCAAACTTCAACAATCTATATAAACCTCCAAGCTGCTTTATTAAAGCTCTTAACAATTTGTACAAGAGAGAATGGAAAGTGGAGAGGAACACACAATTCATCCACACAGAAAAAACTCCAAATACCAATATCTATCTATTCTATACGGTTCACAACAGAAATTCAGAGCAGAAACACAGAAAAAACCACCTCTAATATTCTTTCATCTCTTAGCATTCTCTGGGCAATCTCGACACTTTCTCTTTGAAGTTCTTGAAGTTTCACGCTCTATCTCTCTGCAAATCGCCTAACCTGTCATCATCTTCATATCTTTTCTTCATCTTCTTTGATCTTCAACATCTCCGCGCTTCAATCGTCACCATATTATGCAATTTCATCATGCAATTGCATCTTCATTCATCATTAAAATGCACCTCCATTACAATGCAAAAACTGCATCATCACTGCATCACGATACTCATCAACATCTTTCTGCAACATAATAAACAACACAACCACGAAGTGCAAATGAGAAGAATAAGAGGAAAACAGAATAAAGAAGAAGAAGGTGAAAGGCGAGAGTTATTCATACCTTAAGATGCACATCTAGTTTTCTTGTAGAGCCACAGTCGAAGCACCTTCGGAGTGTCTCCGATAGGTAACTCTAGAAATCCTTCATATCTTCATCTCTTTCTCTATTTCTTGGTACAAATCTGTAGAAGGAGATGAGAAGAAAAAGAGCCCTAACCTTGCGCGACCTAAAGTTTCACCACGAGCATTTAATTTAATGCTGAAATCCTACGGGTTTAATGGTTTTATATAGATTTAGGATGAAACATAGAGAATCAATTGAAAAGAAGGTGATACAGAGTAAGGCAAAGGGATGTAGAGGAAGTAGAATCGAGGGAAACAGTGAGAGGCGGGGGAATGTTATTGAACAAAGGATCAAAGGACTAGGCCAATCGTACGCCATGCGCTGCAACCTGAGAAACGCCCTTAACCTACCTCTGAATGCATCGTTTCACCACATCTCATGATTTCTTTTGTAATTTTTTTGGATAAAGAAATATGCTGATGCTGAAAACCGGATT